GTATTGTACTGGGTACATAAACTTATGTACAAATGCTGTATCCACAATTATGTTATTTAGTTTATAAATATCAAACACAATACACAGCAGGACGAGAGTATATTTTATTGGAAGGATTATATTTTGTCTCAACCATCAGTACAGACGAGAACGAGAAGTCTTGCACTATAGAAGCTGCTTGTTGTTGCCAGTGTTGATACATTACTCCTAGAGTATTCAAGGTGGTTATACAACCTTTTACCAGGAGGAGATCTAGCAGAGCAAAGCGATAGGAATACTAACACAAAAATTTCACGCTGGCTTTATACAAATATGAACTTTAATTATTGAATGGACAAATTCATTCATTGCGTTTAACGTCTCTCGGGCCCCATCAGTTTAGAATCACCCCAGCATCTTTTAGGCATTTACTTTAATCGCCTTTTATGACATCTATAAATCAAATTAGTAATGGATTCTTGAATGGCAAGATAGATATTTTTACGGCTCAGCAGCACAGAGGCTAAGACATTTGGTTGTAGCGCTGCAAGTTCGAACCCCGCACTGGCCAAGCATATGTATGGCCTACAAATATTGTTCCGGGTCTGGGTATTTATTTATGTGTAATTTATGTATGTGTAACACCTTCACGACACAAGCGTAATTCCTACTGTAGAGTAGTATTTTTTTTTATAGAAGCAAGCAGCAAGCAAACAAGCATACGGTTCACCTGATGTTAAGTGACTACCGCCGCCCATGAAGAACTGCAACACCAAGGGAATTGCAGGTGCGTTGCCGGCCTTTTAGAAAGTTGAAGGTCCCTAAGTCGTAAATACATAATGTTTAAAAAAAAACTAAAACTTCAGGACTGAGGCCAAAACTCTTATGACAAATTTGCTTGAGGAAGATGAAAATGATGAAGAAGGAACAGATGAAGAAGTTCAGGAAGAAGAACACATGAATGACATTTAAATATTTCTTTTATAAATGGAAATAAATAAGAATGTTTATGTGTATTACTTTAATTTATTGTTTCAAAATGGTCATAAGGAGCATATAAATGTTTAAGAACATAATGCAAATTATTTTAGGCAATGCCTAAATGGATATAAAATACATAAGATGATAATAAAGCGTCAAGAAAATCTAAAAAAGCTCATCATTTCCAAATATTTCTGTGTCTTAATTATTCATATCTTTTAAATTATCATATAATTTATAACCTTTGCTTATCAAGCTTTGAATTTATGCAAAAGCAACTTAGTGATATTACAGTGGTCTAAGGGCCAGTGAGCAGTAAACTTACGGCATTTGAATAAACTTCACGTTTTTTTTCAGTTAGTCCCCCATACCTGAGGTACATGAAATGGGGACTCTAGTTTGACCGGCGGTTGTTACATAGATGCTCAGGTGTGAGAGGTGTAAAAAATTACCGACAAAAACGTGAAAGTAATAACTCTGCTGCTTTAACATCTTGAAATATTCAATAAATGTTACCGAAAAATAACATTGGCTGACACCTATGTGATAGATTCAAGGTCATGGCAGGTAGGTTGAAAAGTATTTTTTTTTCTTATAATTTACGCTATTTCAATAAAACTGCGGTTTATATATGTCGTTGATAATATTATTTGACAGATACGTTTTGCATGGCAGACTTATATTGTGGTTCTATCACACAGGCAAGCACGCGCTCGAATCCACTTTTTTTTTTCTATTTTTGTTTATTGGAATGGTCATGTCTGCGTTTTATTTTACTCATAACAAAAGAACCTCTGTTTTTGTTTATAACGGTTATGTCAAATATTTGTGTATTGTTGATGTAATATACAAAACTGAAGTGGCAATGGGTCGACCATATAGGTCGAAGAACCGACATTCGATGGGGAACAAGTTCTCGAGTGGCGGCAGCCTGGTTCCGGTAAGCGAAGCGAAGTATAAAATGCGGGTCCCCATTAGATGGAGGCATGACATGCAAGAAGTCAATGGATACAGGTGGCTCAAGAAGACCGTATTTTGTGGCATTCCTTGGGGGAGGCCTATGTTCAACAGTGGACTTGTGAAGAAATGTAATGTTGATATTTTTTAATTATTTTTTTTTTAATAAAAGAATATTAACAATGCTATAAACATTACTAATATTCCCCTTAACCACTCCACCATATATGTTTGCCATGCAAAATATATATTAAGTATGTCAAATAATATTATTAACAACATATATAAATAGGAGTTTTATTGAAATAACGTAAATTATAAAAAAATGTACTTTTGAATCTATCTGACATGACCTTGAAACTATAATAGGTAGACCTATGATAGTTTCAATGGCGATGCCAATTTTATTTTTCAGTAACTTTTATTGAATATTCCAAGATATTAAAGCGGCAGACTTATTACTTTCACGTTTTTTCGGTAATTCTTTTACACCTTTCACAACTGAGCGTGTCTATAACAACCACTGCTCAAATTAAAGAGTATCCATTTCATGTACCCCAGATATAGGGGACTAACCAAAAAAAAAACACGTGAAGCTTATTGAAATACCCGTAAGTCTGTCGCTCACTGGCTCTTAGACTAAAGGACATAAGGTTATAAATGGTTCTACTCAAAAATGACCCACTAGTTTTATAAAGCCTGTACTATGGAAAAATAAGTTTAAATTTACTATGCGTATTAAAGCAATGCCATTACTTGTTTTATGAATGGTATATTAGGTATATGGTATATTATAATAAAATAGGTTCTAACAGAAATAATCTTGCTGTATTCTACAATATGAAAGAAACATCAAATCTGGTCCGAAAGTGAATCTGTAAAACAATGACATAACAAAACAATTCAAACATAATAATGAGAAAAACAGAATTGTTGTTGAATGAAACTATTTTTACGGATTTAATCGCGTTTAATTTACTTATTTTAATACCCGACGTTTCGGGTGCTTTACAGCACCCATAGTCACAGGGGGACTAAAATGTTTGATGTCCCGATGTCATAGTCAGCCCAAGCTACCTTCAGGTTGTGAATAATAATTTTTGATCCAATCTACGCAGAAAGAGCTTATCCTGAAGTCAGCAGTGATATGCTTGGGCTTGGACTTAATTTTGTTAGTTACAGAATCCCAAGCAGATGATAATCCAATCAACATCAATTTTCTCTATTGAAATTAGGATGTAAAATACATTATTTTACTAGAATTTGTTAAATATTCAGCTAATTTTTAATATCTTGCAACACCGTCGTCAGCGGCAGTATTGAACATATGTAGTTACCATTGGTTGCATCGTCAGTTTCGACAACATTTGAAAATGTGCCCCTAAAACCTTGCCTTGATATGTGTTAGTGCAATCAAAAGTTCTTAATTTCATGAACAATACTCAAAGGACTCTTTGTTGCGCATATGCGTAGAATTAAATGGGGTGCTGTATTTGGTTAACATGCGAGAAGTAAGGCAGAAAACTAAAATATGTATTAAGAATACATTAAATTAATGAAGTAAGACATACATTGTTTACATTTATACTGCCATTGTCAAACACATAATTGTCGCTTGAACAGTCTTAGAGTAAAAAAGTTACAGCCCGTATACTTCCCTTCCCACAGCTGGGGACTGGCCTCTCATTTCCGAGAAGGTTTTGAAACGTGGTAGAGCTATGCTGCAGCTATATTGGTTGAGTTGTAGTACAAATGGGTCTGCTAGACATCTACATTTATCTAGGAGTGATGTTAAGCATCAGGTGGTCTGTGTGCTAGTTTTGTCACCCTTATCCTATAAGATAAAAATAAAATGTCCACCGCACTACCCCAATTATAAATGTGAATTTAATATGTCTTCAAAGTATTTTTTATATATAATCCTATACCTTCAATGAGCAATTCTTGTATATATATATAATCGTAATCTCGGAAACGGCTCCAACGATTTTCATAAAATTTTGTGTGCAGGGAGTTTCGGGGGGCAATAAATCGATCTAGCTAGGATTTATTTTTAGAAAGGTTCTTTTTGTGCGTGTTTTCAGGCAATGAAAAACTGCTACAATATAAGAAGGTAAATTTTGACACTTTTTTAATGATCTTAATAGCTCAAGTTGATATCGAGCGGTCGTGAAATCGTAATGCCTTGGTTCGCGTCCCGTCTTGGGTCCGACTTTTTTCCTTTTTTTTTTTCAAGTTCCTTTCTTTTGTGAGAAAATCTATTATTTCGAGCCCTTTTTTCAGTATTTTTTAAAAATACGAAAATTTTAATTAAACTAATTGCACTCATGATTTTTTATTCAGATAACCAGTTCAGTTTTTTCTATTATGTCAATAAGATCAAAAAATATTATTCATGTAATTTGTATCTAAATGTAACTAAAAAAAAACGAGCAAAGCTCGGTCATCCGGGTACTGATTATAATGATTTCTTAATTTTACGCGAACACTAAACATTTTAAACATGGAATGGAATGTTTAATGTTTTTTAACAATAAATGTCTGGATAAACCCGCTTTGATGTAATTATTATCATATCACCACAACCGTGTATTTAATACACAAGAGTATACATACAATAAGGAACTTTAAGGCCTATTACTGACAGAACGACTAAATAACTGTGAATTTTGTGTGATTTCAATTGTTTTTTTTTTCGTTTCTTTTATATTCTGTAATATTAGATAGTGTATAAATTATATATGCAATTTGAAAAAGTAAAACATTTTGCGTGATATACAAACCTTAATAATTTAATGAATTATGGTTCATTTTGACACCAAGCAACTACTAATTATTTAAAATTAATCTAAATTTTAAAAATGTCGAAATTGTAAACTATAAGTAAAAATATACATTCTAAATAAGATCAAAATGTAGTATGTACACCATTAATAAATGAAGCTAAAAGTTACATAGAAATTGCTTGATATGTGAACTGTATGTTTATTGTGAGCATGCAATTTCTGCAGCAACCGGGTATTGCACAGTCAATCAGCCATATAAACTAGGCAGTTTTCAATAAAAATAAATTCTACACTTACCTCTGTATTGGCGACTTTAGTGACAAGTATAAAACAGTTGTTATTCAGGTGACTTATAAGGGTTGTTGGTACAGACGGACTATCTGCAAGTCTAGGTGGACATCGATATCTAAGCCTTTCCAGACGAGTACTCAGTGCTCTTTTATTCATACTCTCCTCCGCGAGGTAACGCATTCGCATCCGAAAATCATTTACCTCAGAACTCCGCAGGCTGTCGAATTCATTTAATCCTTAAAAAAGCAATGTATTTGATAAGTAAGATTATATTTTGATAAGTTAATAATAGCAGATCAAAACATTTAAGTCCACAAACCCAGTTTTAAGAAATGCCAAAATGGATCATTTAAATACAATTAAGAGAAAATTGCACACTTATCAAATAGTGGAGAAATCATGAAATACATTTGAAGCACCCAAAGTTGCTGCTGTATTGTAACTACGCAAAAAAATCCATTACTTCATTTCATCCCATGGTGGAGGAGGAGATGGTAGTATAACCATCTCATTTATGTCCAACATGAAATACCCAGACCAGTGTGGGGGTGACCAAACGTGTGAGACTTATGGCACAGCAATCCTCAACGGTCCTACTATGTGTGATGACTAAAGCAAATCATTACTACAAAGAGGCATGGTGCACGTCCAGCTGAAAAGCAGTTAAATTAACCATGAAATAATACCAGCTTCTCAAACAACAATCCCCATAAGCACTTCATTTGTAACTGTGCAGTCACAGTGTTGAATAAGCTGTCAGAGAATGTAGTCTCGGCCCAAAATGTGAACCAATTCAAAAACAGATTAGATAATCATTTTCTGAACTGCAATAGGAGTAACTAGTGGGCACAAACAGGGTACAGGCATTATCAGTTGTCTCAACTGCCTGCCTGCTAATGTATAATAATAATAATAATAGTATGTCTTACGGGCCAAGTAGTGGCGATGTAAGACTAACTACTACCCCATATTATCCTATAGGTGTCGTAAGAGTGGCAGAGAGAAACAAGGTGGTCTTTGTAATAACAACTAAAAATAAAAAAGACGGCGATTGCCAACTTGTGTGTCAAGTGTGGCAGCTATGGCAAATCTTCCCTAAGAGGCAATCTGTTGGGAGGCCTAAATTCAGCAGTGGACTTTAATAGGCTGTAACGGTGTAATACATAAATCTTAAATAAAGATAGCTCTGCACATAAGATCTGGCCTGCAGACTTGGATTTAAACCTGAACTGAAGTTATGTGATTGACCATATATCTATGCAACTCAACATTCGCTTCTGTTAGTATTACGTCACCTGTGTACGACTTGACTGATTGAAGTCATATTTTCACAATATTATATAGGTTTTTTTTATTGGAAAAATGGTGTGATGAACAAACTTAAGGTCCACCTGATGGTAAGTTGCTACTAAAGGTAATAGATAGTAAAGGTACAGCATTCCATGTAGCAATTAGTACAGTTTTCTATACCAACTTCAGTCTGCTTTGTTAGAACTGTCTGCATTTCTGCAGGAGCCACAGGGGCTATTTAAAAATACTTAGGCCTGCAAGCTCATGTCTCACTCTAAAATAAAAAAAATCTACTTCTGCAGGTCAAAATCCTTTTTTCATAATATACTTGAAACATTCATAACTTTCATAACATAAACATAAACACTCACGCCTGTCACCCAGAGGGGTAGGCAGAGACTACGTACTTCCATTTGGCACGAACTTTCAATGTTTGCCAATATCTACTACACAGAACAAGCAGATTTTGAATGCAACATTTACCCTCCCATTGTTGTGCTGATCACTATCACCAGTTTAATATTGTAGGATACATTTTCTACCCTCAGTTGGTCCCCAGACCATTCTTTAATTAGCCATGTGCACCACATAGGAAAAGCTTTATACATACACCTAAAATAAACTAGTCGTCAAAAAATCATCCCACCTGCGTTTTAACTACAAATCACATTTTTCTTAAACCGAAAAATATGGAAACTTGGGCAGCTTCCCCAGCTACAATAGTGTGCATTATTTTTAGACAAAGTAATCAAAACTACAGCCTCAGTAGATAAACTTAATATCATTAACAAGAATTCCCTACAAAAGTTTGTTTCGGACTCAAAGAAAGGTTTGAATTTGTTCTGACGTAAAACAATCAAATCAGCACTCAACAGTATTTCTGTATAAAAAAATTATTAAGTACCTTTAAGTGCAATAAAATGTAGGACAAACAAGATGTCAAATATCATATCTGACCCTCAAAATAAAAAACAAATATGCGAAACAGCTTAACTGTGAAACAATAGACAAATATTAAACAAAGACCCACCCTTTGGAAATTTTTGATGACCAGTGTACATTTAATGGCAATCATGGGTCCTGGACTTCAACCCAGATAGAGCAAGCTATTGTGCAAAACAACTAATTGTTAGTCGCAGATCTAATTTTGTTTGGATTGTCTTCATATCTATGACACCGTTAAAGTTAAAAGCTACAGCCTATATACATTTTGCATGCTGCTTGATAAGTATTGTAAACAACTCCTTGTACAGTTCTTAGGTGTGCAAAGGATGTCGGGCCTTTTACAATATGCATAACATTCTCAGATAAAACTGGCAATCATCGACGATTTGGGATATCCGTCATCGCTAGTAATTGTTTGAGTTTGGAACGGTTTCGGAAATTTTTTGCTGCATTTAGAATCTCGCATACATGAAGAATTCGGGTTTAAAGTCCCGCAAGGGCCATGTACCATATGTTTCTTTAAGATTTCGTACAGGATAGGATCTTCATCTTTATCCGGTAATTCAGCTGAAATGACCCTGTCAATTTGGTTTGGGCTAATTTTGTTACCTAACCATACCAGCAGGTGTACATGTGGCAAACCATGTTTCTGCCATTCTATTGTGTACATACGACAGTGTGGGGACCGAATATATGAGATTTGTTAATGAGGTGCAGTAATTTCTGTACTTTTAAATGGAAGACTCTGTTAACTATATCGTATCTGTCTTGTGGAGTTAAATTGGTGTTAATATTTTCTTTGATTTCCGGCCAATTTGGGTTACATGTTGCAGTTATAAATAAATCAGGTTTGCCATAATTTCTGATGTAAGTCATGGTCATGGGATGTATACAGGCTGTAGCTTTTAGCACAGGCCTTCTCTCATTTTTGGGAGGGTTTTAGGGCAATGAAATGTCTGCCGCGGTGCCCCAATGTTGGCACACACAATGTTGTTCACATCTTCGAAATATTTTAGTTTTTTAATTTTTCAGACAAGACACAGTACAAGATTCAGGAATCAGAAATCAGGAAGGACGGAAATCAGTCATGTCATATATGACACTGTATCCTAGCTTATTTCTTATCACAAGTATTACATTGGGTAACAGTTTGTCAATAATAGTTAGTACCTATAAGTTAAACCTTCCAAGAAAAAAGAAACATAAGAAAGCATTTGAATGATTGAATGTGTTAAGGGGAAATATTAAAAATACTTCCTCAAATGGCTTAGCAAAATCCTCCATTATGCCGAAAATATTGCAGCATTAATTTTGAAAGAAATATATGGAAAGTTGAGGATTAATGTTAAGTACTATGTTAGACAAAAACATGATACTGTAAAATTATCTCGATAGAAAAAAAATCCAAAGTTACCTCCAAATTGAACAATAAGCTGCCTGTTATAAAATATATATAAAATACATAAAATACTTTAAATTAGATCATGAAACTTCCTAGTATTCTGCTTAAGTCAACTTGCATACTAACTGAACTAACTATAAAGCAGGGCTTATGTTTTTTATTTTTTTTTTAATTACCATTATTTTCACTGTAAAAAGAAATTACATAAACTATCGGCATCTTAAAGCTTGTTTCCTGCCGCCCGGTCTGTGTCACTTCAGCCTTTGAAGGGGGAAGATGTGTCATTTACGATCAGGATACACATTACGGTTACGCAACAGGACGACGTAAAATTAAAATAGGAAATAGCCGTAATAAAAATAAGAAGCGACTGGGTCGGCGTAAAAAACAGACATAAATATGATAAACCTAATGAAATAAACATCTAAAGACCTATCTACTTACAGTATTAGTGATTACAAACATGTCGGTACATAGCATACGACGCGCAGGGAAGTGGGGGCGAAACTAGAATTTGAGCTGACTTACTATATCCCCTTAAAGACACTGGTAATGAACCAAGCAGTAGTAGTTTCAGCATATACAGAACAAGCTACAAAATATGTCCAGTAAATAAGGAGGCAATCAAAGACAGTGTACAACATGTCTGAGAAATATTTTCACATCTTGGCAAAGAAACTGATTCTAAAGAAAACTAAACCTAAATAGATGATAAATACTTTGATTTTAATTATTTGATCTTCATGGGATCATTGACATGAGATAACCATGAGTGAACTGATTTTATAATGATTGTATTATATATACTATATTAACCTAGATAACTGTATGTTGTGCTAATCCAAAGAAAACTTAAGTTGCTTTTAGATTTTATATTTTAGTGTTTATCAATGTTTTTGTTTTGACAAATTGTATCCTTATATAATGATAATGTGTCTTAGTACAAAAATATAAATGATTAATAATTAATTAATTAATATTTTAAATCCCTGACATATCCCATATCCTGCCGTTACAAATGACTGTGCACCTGCTTTAAGTTTAAAATAGCATGACATTAAATGGAAGTTGTTGCCATAGTATATGTTGAACGGGAACACATCATTATCAAAGCCAAAGGCTTTACAAAGCTTGGTTTAAGAGCATTTTATAATAACCAAAAACTTTTTATTACCTTTGCCAATCAAATTGCTGATGTGTGTATTTAACAAATGTTCACCAGGTCTCTCAATAGACCGTTCAATAATAACAAGCACTCCACATACTGGCTTTATGTCTCGTAGCCTCTTATTCTCATCATCCACTTCTTCAGTTACAGCTAACGAGTTGATAAATTGGAATACATAGCCCGACATTTCATGAAGCATCCCAAATAGTGGAAACTTCCCTGCCAGATCCCATAGTTCCTGAAAAATTACAAAATTATAAGTTTCAATCATGAAAAGAACTAATGTATTTTGTTTATTCAAAATACAAAGTACAAAACAATATCTTAATAATCATCATTGTAAGTCCATTGCTATACACAAGCCTCATAATGTTATTAATTCTTGCTGTTTAATTCTCATAGAAAACTACAGAGATGCAGAGCGTAATATCATTTTGCCACAGATATAAAGTAGTAGTAGTGAATTACTTTCTAAAAATCCAAATCATTTATCTGTGTGCATATTACACAATGCAGTAACATACTTATATACTGTAAAGAACAATGTGTTGGTAAACCCCGTGACTCACGCCACCTGCACAGGATAATTTTGTGAACTTATAAACACTAACCTCCTTGACATCCTGCAAAGTAGCATCCCAGCTCACTGTGAGAGGTATATACACGGAGTTTGGCATCAGACATATCAGCTCGACGTGGTCGGACGTGGAGGACGTCCAATAGTCCCACGTATACGCGCAACTCGGTGCAGGGACCATTGTTTTGATTGATCTTTTGCCTGATCACACAAATTATCCCCACAACATTTTTAACCTTTCACTGAAAACTCGCTATATAGCGACCACGTCGTTGGCGGCCACTGAAAATATTATTCACTAATAATCACTTATTGATACTGAAACAACGGTGGTGTTGAATCATAGCATTTCCTGGTATTTTGATTAGGGGCAAATCGCCATTCGAAAAGAAACTGTCACTGTAATAACACAAACAACATTGAAGCTATAATCCTTGACAAGTTGTATGAAGTAATTACCTCTACAATTTTTTTACATAATTCATGCTTCGACAACAAATCAAAAGTCTCATTTATATGTTTCTAAGAAATTGTAAATAAAGAATTAAGATTACGTGCAACAACAATCTACTGTAGTACTTGCACAGTAAAAAAAAACTAATTAGTTATGGTAAGTCAAATATTTTTTTATTTGTTGTGATGTCTCTACATTCCCTTCCCTATGATTAACCATAGGGATGCAGTTGTTACCATTAGAAGTGGATGTTGAATCAATAAACTGTTTTTTTCAACGGCTTTTCATTCGTCAATGTGTTAACTGTTATTCATTAATGAAAAAATAGACCATTAAAAACATAACTTGTAAAAAAACCAAGTCTTGCAACTCAGTTCTTCTACCGTAAAAAGTTGTGAGATCCATGTAATACCAAGTCGGTTAATTTATTCAGTTCCTACTTAAGGGTCCTTCTGTTTTAAGTTATTACGTAATTAGCTAACCTAACAACATTTTATAGTGACCATATCAATGTTAAAAGTCTTTTAATGTTTTAAATAATAAACATTGACTTGGTCATCGCATGAAACCACAATGTATCTCACAAGTAATACGTATTATATTAAATTAGATTGCTTAATGCGATTGCCAAGTCAATCTACAAATTTAAAACATAAAAGACTTTTAAAATTGATATGGTCACTATAAAATGTTGTTAGGTTAGCTTATTACGTAATAACTTAAAACAGAAGGACCCTTAAGTAGGAACTGAATAAATTAACCGACTTGGTATTACATGGATCTCACAACTTTTTACGGTAGAAGAACTGAGTTGCGAGACTTGGTTTTTTTACAAGTTATGTTTTTAATGGTATCTCATTTCTTTTTGTATATAAGATAGTACTAATTTTTTACCTTTCCGGTACCTTCTACTTCTTGAGTGCCAACAACGTACCTATGTACAACTGTAATACATATACAAGTACACTGATTCATTCACTGCAAATGTAACTTTGTAATTATATATATTTATATGGGATTACAAAGTTATTTATGCAGTTAGTGTATCTAGAAAACTGGACATAAATTAACAAATGTTTTAGTTTTTCCTTGATTTATACACTATACACTAATTGTATTCTAAATTTGAAGCTTCCATGTTTGCTAGAAGTGCCTTAGAGTTTTGATGATCGGTCAGTCAGTGAGTGACAAAATTAAGAAACTTTGACTGGTTACAATACTTAAACTACTGATTCAAATTGAATGAAATTTGAAATATGCCACGTCTATACTATGCTTATTCGGTTGCTGAAAATTCAGGCTTCTAGTTTTATTGACCACGAAGTTATAAGGGGTCGAAAATGGCCTGAATTGCTTCGAGAAAAGATGGTACGGCCGTGCCGCTTTTTTTGCTCGACTTGGCGGGGGCACTGCCGTGCCCCCAGATTGAAAATATTAGCTTTCAATTTACGTCAACGAGCTCAACGCATTTTGTTTTTCAATATTATTTTATTCATTTCTGTGAATTTAGTATTTTTCGGAAATATTCGTTACTTCCGGAGGTTACCGAACACCGCAGCGTGTCAACAGATCGGACGCGGTCTTGTGGATTCGTGTGTGAGCGTGAGCAAGTAAAGAAAGTTATTTGTTATTTGTTAAGATTTTGTATTTAGTATGTGTAAATAATCTGTGAGCTTCGTTCAAGGCTAAAATTCGTTGCGATTATTTTTGTTTGTAATACGTGGTCGAGGACAAGTGTTTAGTTTATTTTTTTAGGTTTAAGTACGTGAATATTGTTTTGTGACAAAGTTGGACATTATGTCAGTGCCACGTAGAAACAAAAAATTACTCTGCCAAAGACAAGACATTTAGTTTGTGTACTTTCTTGGACCCTTGATTTAAAATACAGGGATTTTCAGACCACGCTGAAACTGTCAAAACAAAAGATAGAGTACGAATGCTCGTCGCCACCGAAATATCCAAAATTGATGCTGCAACACTGGCCCAAAATTCAAATCAAAATTAATTGACAAGAACTAGAATGAATTCAGTCCACTCGATATTTTTGATCAAATAATATGGGCACCTCCCACCATAGTCACTCCGTTATCAAAAGCCACGAAAGAAGTGGACATCTATATTTGGCCGACGACATATTACTAAGAACAAATACTACTGGTGACCGGAAGAATTCTTTGGAATGATGGAGAACTCACATTTTTTTTATTCAAAATTAGCAAAAATTTGCATTAAAAAATGTACTACGACTAGCAACATCACTGCAATGCGAAAGAACGTTCTCCAAATTGGAGCTAATTGTAAATCAAAGAAGAACAAGACTAACTACCAGCAAAATATAGAAACTGCCATTTTGAAATGTTAACTTAGACGGGGGCCGTTTTGCAAGTTATGAGCTTTGATATGTAATTGTAAATAGAATAAAGGAAAAAAACAAAAAATAGAAAAAGTACGAAGAATAGTCATTACAGTTCAATAAACATAAAAGTAATCTTTAGATACGAATTTATTCTTATCAAATCATAAACTTTAACTTAATCTGCAACAAAATTTTTATTGATCGAAAACGTTGAAATATTAAATTGACGATTAACGTGTAGAAGATCACTAAGCTAACAAATGAAGTTTCAAAACCTGTTATTTATTTAACAGCTTTTTAAACCTGTTGACCATTAATAATTAACAGTTGAATTACATTAACTAAAAAACCGTCAATGACCCATGCTTAGTTACCATAGACAATTAAATATGCAGCAAACAATTACATACTACATACCTAGGTACGCTAGTATTTCTTAATATTATAGTTTGTGACCCCCTTTGAGTATTAAACCAAAGGAGGCCGCATCGCAAGGCATACCTCTCTGTAAAAGGTACGAGAGTCCTACTCATGCCCGTTATATAAAACTAGTTGCACAGTCTCGTGCGCCACACCGCAAGTGATCGTGTTAGTAAATGGAGCTCCGACAAAACGCCAAATCGCAGTGTATTTACATGCAAAAAATAATCAAAAACGTCAAATCTACAAAAAGAGAACGTGACTTTTCATCTGTGAGTATTTTTAACATAATATTAAAGTAATATTATCATTAAGACTCGTACTTTCTGAATATTTTCGTCAAATACTAAATAACAATAATACATAATCTGTTTTTAAATAAATATAATTTACTACATAAGATAAATATATTAACGAAAATGTATTTCCTAATAACTAAATCGGTTTGTGATGTATAAGAATAATTACATATAGATGTAGTGGATTTTGTTAGATAATTTATATATTCAGCTCAATTTCATCACGATCCTGAATATTATATAATTTAATATAATCGATAACTAGTATTTATAAAATATTATACAAAATAAAGGCCAAATAAGTCAAATCGAAACAGCAAAAGTGTGCAATTTTTGTAAAAATAAACTGGTATCACTGCAACCGAAAGTATTGCACTATAGTGATGTACGCCACAGCTTTAGCTATCGATAAGTTAATTACCCATGCGGGTTTGTCTGCCGAACTTACTAGCTTACACGCCATGTAGTTTAATGTGCAATATTACGTTCAATGTAAATAAAAAAACTACATTAGGTACGAAACACAAAATAATGATACAAAATTACCAAAAATAAAACAAAGTGAAAAAGTATTATTTTAAAAGTCAAAAGTGTTATGGTTTAATTAGTTTTTGAAGTGAATAACTTTCGTATATGTAACTTATGCATTTTTTGGGTCACTTAAAAACACCGAACAATTAGGTGTAAAAAAGTTGTTCCAGTTCCCGATGGATACCGCATTCGCTCTGTGAAGAGCAAAAAGCGGCTCGCGTTACTTGGTGCGTCAGAACTCTCGAAAGATTCCACGCAGGATCCTCAAATGCTGTATACAACATCATATCAAGTAACGAATCCTGGATATATGCGTACGAACACGAAACAAAAAACCAGTCACGAGTTTGGGTGTTCGAAAATGAGTTAAAGCCAACAAAAATTGTTCGTTCACGCAATTTTGCAACAAAAATGGTGGCCACGTTTGTCTCCAAAACCGGTCATGTTACGACTATTCCTCTTGAGGGACAAAGAACGGTTAATGCAGAATGGTATGCTAGCATTTGTTTGCCACAGGTCGTTTCTGAACTCCGTAAAGAGAACTGCAACCGTCGCGTCATCCTCCATCACGACAATGCGAGTTCTCACATCGCACACAGAACAAAAGAGTTTTTAGAGCAAGAAAACATAGAATTATTAGACCATCCGCCGTACAGCCCCGACCTAAGCCCTAATGATTTCTATACTTTCCGTAGAATAAAGAATAAATTGCGTGGACAGAGATTTTCATCACCTGAAGAAGCTGTGGACGCCTACAAAACGGCCATTTTGGAGACCCCAACTTCCGAATGAAATGGTTGCTTTAATGATTGGTTCCATCGTATGGAAAAATGTGTCAAATTTCGCGGAGAATACTTCGAAAACCAATAAATACATTTTTAAATAGTAATGTTGTGCCACTTCCTTGATTCTCGAAATTTTGGGGGTGATATGTGTGTGAATTTAAATTGTTGCGGATTTATTTTATTAGAAGTTGTGTATTTTACTTGCGCCCCCCCCCCCTGATGTTGACAGAATTTTTGTTTAGGAATTAACACGCATAGCCTCTTCAGTTGGTTGAATACTCAAAGTATACCCCGTACGGATAAAGAATGAGATTATTAGATATTATGGCGGCTCATCATTGACTTATATATTAATAGCGTAAGGACCGGGCCGACCGAACAACAAAAACGGACCACTGCGTTGGCCCTAAAATTATTAAATAATATAATATAATTAGGGCCAACGCAAATCGGTCAACAGTGGTGCGCGCGCATGACAGATTTGCCGGTCATAAATATGTCTAGTTGCGTGGTAAAAGAATGCAAAAATTACAATACAAAGATTTAAAAAAGCATGGGATATCGTATCATCGGTAAATAACCTTATATTAATTTTGTTACAGTAAAATTATTATATAAACGCATTTTTAAAGTATTATTTTACAGTTAGTTTAGTTACGTTACCAAGATTAGGCCAGCGTTGGATTCAGACCCTCAAAAATATTGTACGTGGAAAATAAAATTATACTATTTAAAAAAAATATCACGTTTGACGTTTCATGTTTCTTTTTTCCCATTTTGGTGTCATGCGTCTAGTTTATCTATACGTTTCGGTTTTTGACGGTTTTATTTATATTTATGTTTAATTTTTGTCTAAAGAACTTATTGTAAGTTAATTTTTAATATTGGTACCTAATATATTTTATATTCAATAAGGGTAAAACGAAAAGAGTACAAAATAAACTATATCTGCTTAATTGAATCTGAAAATCTTATTCATAAAATATTTTGAAATTCTGTTTTCAAACCGATTGCTTCTACCATTTTCAATCCCGTTCTTTAACCGGATGGATAGTACATAATAACTACTAGTAATAACAAAATCTCTGCTCCTCTTATATGTACTAGCAAACAATTTTTGATTAATAGGGTTAGATTGTGGCACTATCAAGGAGTTTATAATATATAAAAGGTAATGTCTGTGATAATAATAATAATAATAATACCCAACCAGATGAGAAAACTATATAGATACCCCACATAATAATAATAATAATAATAATTAAGGCGTAGGGAAGTGACGACCCCATCGCCCGCTGATATAACGGTTATGTGACAAAACTGCTACGTCGACGCAGTCAGTCAGCGCCTTACCAAGAGGTGTTAGTGCCGTGCCTCGGCAAAAATTGAAGGTGCCAAGGCCCGCTTGTGCACATGGCCTAACCATGAAACGGCGCCGGGCCTGGGCGTCTCCCGCTAAATGACGCCCTAAAATGGATGATGGAATCAAATGGAACGCGCAAAGGGCCGCTGCCTGGAGGTCGCCAGGGCGCGTCTGGAGCTGGCGCTGGACGCGACAGCATGCGAACCGCCAGCCGAGCGCGAGGTGCTGTACGACCACCCAGCAGCTCCTCGCATCCCCACCAGCAGGCTTGGTGTCGGCAGGGTCTTCGCGGGCTCAGCAAGCGGCACCCGCCGCTGGTGGAGTACGCCGCATGCGTTGGACAACCCAGATGAAGCAGCAACGCATTGCGGGCGTATTTTAGGGCGAAAGGGGGAGAAACTGGAGGTTTTGCGTATCGGGCAAGGATGCATCGACTTTTTGCTGAGCTGGAGCCATCTGTAACCGTCACCGAGCAAAACCTGGCAGACCGAGTTCGGTATATCTTGCGCTCAAATATATTTGATGTCACCGAACTCGAACGGCTACGACGTGAGGCTGTTCCTTCATCGGGTGAGAATGCTGCGGCTGAGGATGCGGCGCCACAACTTGCCGAGCAACCGGCAAATGTGGATGCCGCCGTGAATGCGCCAGTTGTGGTTGATTCAAACGATGATGGAACATTCGCCCAGGAACTGGAACTAGAGCAAATGAGGAGTACATTGGAAGAGGCGATTGTGGAAACGCGCAGTACGACTCTCGAAAATCGACCGCGACTTCCCCGCTTAGCCCTAAGCAAGCGGAATCGGGCTGTCGTGAGGGCTCTGAACCCAATGCTGGTTACCTATTTGGAAGCCAGCCGGGACCTTTGCGAGACGGACTCAATTCTTTTTGGCGCCGCGCTGGCAGTCTGCCGTATTATAGGCGCCAAGCTTTCCACGGCTGGACGCGCTACTGGACAAAGTAGCGCTATCCCAGCCTGGAGAAGAAGAATTGAAGAACGTATCGCAAAGGCTAGGGCCCTCATCGGCAGACTGATATGCTTCAGGTCAGGCAATACCAGGCCAAGGATTGTGCGCACCGTCAGGATGGCGTTTGCTGGGACAAATGTTAGTTTGTCCCAGCCGGATATAATGCAAAAACTGACGGAGCGCATAGACGACCTGAAGCAAAGAATCGCTGCTTGGGGAAAGCGGATTCGGCGATATACCGAGAGGTCGACACGGTTCAACCAGAATCGTCTCTTCCAGAGTGATCAGAAGAGGCTGTATAAATCATTGGAGCGACCAATGGTAAGTGGAACGGGCCCTGCACCAAATCAGGCCGACATTGTCGCATTCTGGCGCAGCCTGTGGTCAGAGCCCGTAAACCACAACGAGGGCCCTTGGACGGAAGTTGTGGCGAGTCAGTGTGCGAGTATTACGCCCATGGACCCCGTCATCATAACGCCGGATGACGTAGCTGAGGCGGTCCGTAGGGCCCCGAACTGGAAAAGTCCGGGGCTTGACGGGCTGCATCACTACTGGCTGAAGGGGTTCATGGTGTGTCACTCTGTACTCGCCCGACAGTTTCAAGAGGCTCTCAACCAGAAGTCGCTCCCAAGCCTCTTCACTACTGGGATCACTCATTTGGTTCCTAAAGATCAGGGTGCCACAGACCCGAGCAAATACCGCCCCATCACGTGTCTACCGACCATATACAAGACACTAACATCCATTTTGAGCGCGAGAATCGCTCGTCACCTGGACTTAAATCAGGTGATGTCGCGCGCTCAAAATGGATGTCGGGGCGGCGGTCGTGGAACCAAGGAACCACTCCTCATTGACGCGGTCATTGGCAAAGTGGTGAAACGCAACCGTCGGAACTTCTCCGCCGCCTGGATAGATTACAGAAAGGCATTTGACTCGGTGCCCCACACGGCGTATGGGGCAGTGGAGTACGATCCTTTGTTATCTGGGCGAGCGGATGATGGCTGCGGAGAACCACATAAGGATAAGAAGGGGTATCTTTCAGGGCGATTGTCTGAGTCCAATCTGGTTATGCCTCTCTCTGAACCCTCTCAGTACCTTACTGGAGGGCTCCGGGAGAGGATTTCAGCTACGGAAGGGAGGGACAAAAGTGACCCACCTTTTCTATATGGATGACCTCAAGTTATTCGCCTCCAGTCGCTCCCATCTTGTGGAACTGCTAAACATCACTTGTGAATTTAGCATTTCTTTTGGAATGGAGCTGGGAACGGATAAGTGTAAGGTCCTCCATGTTGAAAGGGGAAGGGTTGCTAACTTTGAGGGCATGGACTTATCTATGCCCGTCAACTTAAGGACCCTTTCTGAGACTGAAACATACCGATACCATACCTGGGTATGTCACAGAACATCGGTATCGATGAGGCTGGTATGAAACAGTCAGTTTGCGACGTGTTTTATGCACGCTTGACCAAAGTGCTCAACAGCCTTTTGTCTGGTGTGAAGAAGACACACGCTTATAACGGTTGGGTCATGCCTGTCCTCATGTATACCTTTGGCATACTCAGTTTGACTCAGACTGAACTTAACGCCATGGATAGAAAAGTCCACACTACTATGACGTTCCATAGGATGCATCATCCGAGATCGTCGGTAATGAGGCCGCGAAAGCATGGTGGGCGTGGCTTTTTGAACGCACTCACCATGCATACTCGCGAAGTGTGCAGCCTCCATCATTACTTCCTGGCGAGATCGGATGATTTATTCTATAAGGACGTCATTATTTGTGATAAAGGACTTACCCTTCTATCCTTAGCCAACGAGCAATGGCAAGACCCGGCAGTGCAGAGCATTTCCGACCGGGAGACCGTATGGAAGGAGAAGGAGCTCCACGGAAGGTTCTACAAGGCTCTATATGAGCCTTTCGTAGACACAGTAGCCTCCCTCCACTGGCAACGCTTTGGTGACCTCTTCGGGGAAACCGAGGGTTTTGTCTGTGCAATACAGGATCAGGTTATTAAGACCAACAACTATAGGAGATACATCCTAAAGGATGGCACCGTCGACATCTGTCGAGCTTGTCGCCATCCCAGTGAGTCACTTAGGCATGTCATCTGCGGTTGTTCGGCGCTTTCTAACTCTGAGTATTTGCACAGGCACAACCTAGTAGCCAGAATTCTTGACTAGGATCTCGCTCTGAAATACGGTCTCGTGGTTCGGAAACTGCCGTATTACAAGTACTTGCCGGAAGCCGTGCTCGAAAATGACCGCGCCAGGCTCTACTGGGACCGGGCCATCATCACAGACAGGACTATTCTTGCGAATAAGCCTGATATTGTGCTGATGGACCGGGCACAGTCAAGGATATTTTTGGTCGATATCACCATTCCGTATGACGAGAACCTCGTGAAAGCCGAAACAGATAAACGAACAAAATATCTGGACCTGGCTCACGAGGTGACCGACATGCGGGGTGGTCTGCCCACTGAAATTATTCCTGTAGTCGTTTCTGCAAACGGGCTAATCCCAGTCAGCCTCTCGGGTCATCTGAGGAGGCTGGGACTTCGTGACGGACCGCTCCAGGCTCAAGTGCAGAAGGTGATGCTCCTCGATAACGCCCACATTGTCCGTCGGTTTCTCTCCCTTTCCCCCTAACCCTCGGCCGTTTGGTCTCTCCTGCCGAGGGCTTCCATCTGGTTGGACTATTTGTTTATTATTATGATTTATTTATTTATGTTAGTATATGAAATATATATATTTATGTATATTTATCATTTACTTTTATATATTTATACAGCCCAACCAGATGAGAACCCATAATAATAATATAATTTATTTATTTCTCACCACAAACGACATGGAAGATACATTAGTCTTTTATCTCTATTTCACTCTATCTACATCTCTTTTTCACATAATCACAATGTTGTAGGCATGAGCAACTCGGGCCACCGGCGGATTGGAGGGGAGTGGCCTTACATATAAGTCCATGCGGTCCCTCCGCAAACGTATAAGTCCACGTGATCCTACTACATCCTACGTTAAAACTAGTTGCACTACTCACTACTCACTAGACTAAATCTAGTTGCGTGGCTGAATCAATGTCCTACAAAAATGCCAAATTATTTATTTTTATTGCTATAAAAATTAATCTGCTACGTCAAATTTATAAAAATATGGCAACCTTTCATATATAGCAATTTTGTCATATTATTGCTATTTACTTCTATTTAAAATTACAATAATTATTACTTCGTATTACTTGGTACACAGCGGAACACAGGTCAACTCGCCCTCATACAATATGCAGAGTGGTCGATCGACTGATACGAGTCTGTATCCGAGCTGTTGCTGTCACCAAGCGACAGTGTTATAATGTAAGTTTTCAGGAACTATGGGATGTGGAGAATGGGTCTCAACATTTGCGTTGTGTGTGTAAACCGGGTGCGAAGCAACAGTTGTTGCTGTATGGGGTGCTTGGCCGTAGATGGTAGCGGGACCCGAGGCACAGTGTTCCGATGGCCGACCGCAGGTTGTTGGGGGGCCCAATTAGTGAATTAGCTATTCATGAAAGGCTATCCCGCTAACTACCAGAAAATCATATGGTGGCTCCATCTTGCCGGTTTGCGACTGAGCGAGAGGACACTATGGTGATTTCGTTATCACCGTAGTCTCCAGATCAGTTTCACATGGTCGCAGTAACTCTGGTAGTATCGTTTGGTTGCTCGTTCTACGGCCATTATCCATCCTTATTCACTTTTTCTCTTATGTGTCTTAAAAAGAAAAGTATGGCTAAACAGCGATAGCAGGACCTCTCATTAAAAGTGCACCTCAATAATATTCCAGGATTGCACTCTAATTTTAGCGCAATCCATCACCCTGATGAGACTGAGAAGTTGCACCTTCTTTTATTGACGGTGACCCAAATTGAATGTCCATTGAAGGCGGCGCACCTCGACTATCCTGGATTCTACCTGGAGTAAAAATTCCAACTACTTACTGGAGTTTATGTGTATGTTCCCAATGACATCTGTTTTCAGTATGTCCGTCACCTTGAAGACCCCACTTTTTCAACAATCTGTGTGATGGTAGATACGGGAATTGATAAAATCCTTTATGACTGTGTCTATTAATCGCACAGCGGTGACCAGGAGACAACACAGTTATTTGATCACCTTAGCGAGACTACTGATGTGGCGCTAAATCGGCACAGCCGATCTTTCTGGGGGACTTTAGCGCCTGTCACAAATATTGGCTGTTCTCATACCAGAAGACCGATCATGCTGGAATAGAAGCGTGCATTTTTCGCTTGACGCTAGGTTCAGTCGGTACCCTGGTTCAGTCGGGTACCCTAAGCGACTAGGGTACCCGACTGAACCAGAGGTATGAAGTACAGGTTAGGTACATCTGTAGACTGTCTGGTGAAATCTGTATCGTCATATTTGCCACCTGATTACGAGTCCCGAGGTATTCGACGAATATGGCGATATAAGTCAGCTGATTGGAATGAGATACGACACGGTTTTTGGATCCTATTCTTGGCGGGATAGCTGTTTCTCTTCTGTGGATCCGTTGAGCTGCGCGGATGCGATAACCGATTATTTTACCGAGTAATTTGACCGAGTATTTTATCTCATTTTCCGATGCTCCTACTGGTAGCAAAGTTCACCCATGATTTAACGCTGAATGTGTCCAAGCTGAAAAGAGCAAGCATTTGGCGTACATATCCTTGGTATACCTCATAATCGCAAAGCTCCGGATATTAGCTCCAAAGAATTTTCAACCACGCCGCCAAGTACTACAAAAAAGCATTACGGAAAGATAGTTTCGATTGCACTAAACATGTTCGCGCAAAACTCTCTGCCAGACCATCCGGCATTAGAGTTTTTTTTGTCTCTTGCTAAAGTGGTCGAAATAAACTTTTGTCGGCCTACACTGCCTCCGATGGTAAAACCGAATGGCGCACTGAGGCGTACGGCTAAAGAGAAAGCGGTTTTTGTTTCGTCTTTTTTTGCCTATAACTCACGTCTGGACAGTGGCAACAACGTTCCACCTAAATTACCTCATTGCGAACCTCCATATCGGAGGTTTGTGTCACAAATAAGGAGGTTCTTAAAGCCTTGCGGTGTCTAGACGTTAATAAAGCTAGTGGACCAGATGGTATATCATTCTAAAAGCTTGTTCATCTGAGTTTTCTCCTGCTCCTGTGCTAAACGTTTGTTCAGCCTCTCATTTAGGGCTGAAATAGTGCCAATATCCTGGAAGATCGTCAGCGTGCAGCCTGTTATAAAAAAAGTCAGCCGTGCTGACCCTGCCAATTATTGACCAATCTCAATTACCTCCATACTACGCAAGAATATGGAACGTATATTGAACGCTCACTTTATGGGATACCTAGAAAAGAATGACGTCCTTAGTGACCGGCAATACGGATTTCGTTGAAGTCGGTCAGCTAGGGACGTTCTAGCGTATATATATCACACATATGCGAGGCAATCGAGAACAGTGAGGAAGCACTTGCTGTTTCCCTTGATGTTTTGAAGGAAGACCTTTGACAGAGTTTGGCACGCTAGCCT